CTGTTGAACCAACCTGTTGAACCAACCTGTTGAAGCAACCTGTTGAACCAACCTGTTGAAGCAGCCTGTTGAACCAACCTGTTGAACCAACCTGCTGAACCAACCTGTTGAACCAACCTGTTGAACCAACCTGTTGAACCAACCTGTTGAACCAACCTGTTGAGCCAACCTGTTGAACCAACCTGTTCCCCCGCTCGCCTGTGGGGGCGCTGCACCAAGAACTACTGAAAGAAACGACACAAAAACCTCTGAAGACACTTCTTCTTCTTCTTCTGTAAATAAAAATAAAAATGAAGCGGCATCAAGTTTTAGCAGTTTTAGGAGTTATATTTTGTCATTTTTCAAAAATGGACTCAGCATGAGCAGAAGATGAGACAGAAGACCATGGAGAATATTGTTCTTCACACAATTCAGCTGACGGCTCCATATAAGAGAAATGCATGTTTGTTTGTCCTGTGGAGCGTGTCCGGTCTGTTTACATTCACACTGTACTGGAACCGTGCTGGAGTTCTCTTCTACCGGACCCAGACCTAGGTTTTAGCCCAGGCCAGAGTTCGTCTTTTTGTTCCGTGACAGAGTTCGATAGCGCGTTCACACCTCCCTAAAGGAACCGGACTTTCTAGGAAAACGAGCTGGAGTTGGATTAAAGTGACTAAACAGGGCTGCTGTGAATGCAGCCTTATGTCCCTGGGTGAGAGAGAGAGAGAGAGTGAATGGTTGTTTGTCTCGTTTGTCTTTATGTGTCCCTGTGATGGACTGGAGACCTGTCCAGGTCCTCTCGTACAGTGACTGCTGGACATGGGCACCAGTGACCCCCGTGATCCGAAAAGGGAGATGCGGGTAAAAGATGATGGCTGGATGGATTTAAATTGCACAGTCATTAGATTATGCAGTATGAGTACTCAAACGTAGCATTTTTCTTCATAAAATGTCCAACTATGTTATTTTGAATCACGAAGCTTGTGTTTCACAAAAACTAACAAGAGTTTTGTTATATGTCCAGGTCTGATCTGCCTTCTGTTGGAAGGAGAAGAACTGGATCATCTCATGTCTCTCTCTCCCGAGGAGCTGCTGTTGCGCTGGGTCAACCATCATCTCAGGAATGCAGGAACTGAAACAATCAGCAACTTCAGCGCTGACATACGGGTACCACACTGAACAGATCCGTCTGCACTCACACCATCACTCTCACAGAGATGTTATTGTAATGTTATGTTTTGTCTCTGAAGGACTCGCGGGCCTACTTCTACCTTTTGGAACAAATTGCTCCTCCAGATGAAGATGAATTTCATGTGGGGGTCAAAATTGACAAGTCTGGCCTAACTGTGAGTTTATTTGTTATTGCCTAACGCTGAAGGGGAAAGGGATGTGTGTTTGCTTATCTGTAGAACAAAAAAGGTTAAACCATTTCATCTGCACCAGTTTCTTTAAGGGAGAAACGTTTCGTCTTCCATCCAGAGGACTTCATCAGTCTGTGGCCTGCCAACCAGATCTGTCCCATCAGTAGCCTTCACTGCTGTGTTTCAAGCCAACCTCCTGTTGGGATCTCAGAAGTAGACTTTAACACATGCAAAAGGACCCACCTGTCCAAAACAATCAGTCATCATGTATAACTATCAAATGTTTTAGGCCACATGGCCAATTGCTGCTCACAGCAACAGCCTGAGGACACCAAGACCAAAATGGTTCAGAAGAAAGGTTGTAAGCTCAATCATCCAGTTAGACCAGTTGGTTTAACCAGCCGCTCAAAGCAGATGGTCTCTTGTCCTGAGCTGGTTCTGCTGGAGGTTTCTTCCTGTTAAAGGGAGTTTTTCTTTCCACTGTCTCCACTGTGCTTGCTCAGGATGGGAGACTGCAACGAAGCCAAGATTCAACTTGTCTGCTGGATTCCTTAGATAGAGAACTTTACTAATTGGCTTTTATGTGAATGTTCCTGTAAAGTCCCTGAGACAACTTTGTTGTGATTTGGTGCTTTATAAATAAACTGAACTGAATTGAAAAAAGGTTAAATCATTTTATCTGGACCAGTTTCTTTAAGGGAGAAACGTTTCGTCTTCCATCCAGAAGACTCCATCAGTCTGTGGCCTGCCAACCAGAGCTGTCCCATCAGTAGCCTTCATTGTTGCAGTTTTTTTTTTTTTACAGTGGCTTATCTGTAGAGTTAGCAACTTATATTTTGAAGGACTGGGTGTATGTTGACAAAGCTCAGAAAATAATTGATAATACTTACAAATCATTAACTTTTGGAGTCAGCTGTTGTGTCCGTCATGAGCTAATTGAGGTTAGCCAACAGAAAATGGTTACAACTCTGCTGATTTTACAGGTAATGGCTAAAATCTGCTGTGGTAGTAGCTGAGTGTCATCCTCAACACATGTTTCAGGCACTAAAAGTTAACACATGATGTTGAAACACTGCATAATATTCACACAAAAAAGGTTAAATCAGGTCATCTGGACAGTTTCCTTTTGGGAGAAACGTTTCGTCTTTCATCCCAAAGACTTGATCCGTTTGAGGCCTGCCAACACAGATCTGTCCTATAAATAGCACCTTATTGATGTGTTTAAAGTCAGCCCTTATGGAATTCCCAGGAACTGGCTCTACACATGCAAAAAGGGACCATCTGTCCAAAGCAATCAATCATCAGTGCATATTAATCACATGTTTTAGGCCAGATGGCCAGTTTCTGAGATTTCCACAGAGGGTTGACTTAAACCACATTAAGGTGCTTTTAATAGAACAGACGTGGGTTGGCAGGCCTCAGACTGATGAAGCCTTTCAGATGAACAAAATGTTTCTCCCAAAAAGAGACTGTCCACATGACCTGATTCAACCTTTGTTGTGATTTATCTACCTGGATGACTGAGCTTACATGTGTGCTAGATTGTTCACATCATTTCAGTGATTTGACCAAAATAACTAGAATGCTGCTCCTTCTCACCAGAACTTAATCGTAGTATAACACTCTGGCATGAAAGGCTAGTCTTATTTTTTGTAAAAGTTGCGTACTCATTTTAAACGTTTGAATGTGTGTTTGTGTGAAGGAGTGGGATCTGGACCAAAGAGCTGAGCTGATGCTGCGGGAAGCAGCCAAGCTGGACTGCAGGCAATTTGTTTCTCCTCACGACGTCACAACCGGAAACAGCAAACTCAATTTGGCCTTCGTGGCCAACCTGTTCAACACGCACCCCGGTCTGCAGAAGACTGGGCTCAACAACCTGGAGGGGGAGCACATAGAAGGTACTACATAATCTTAGCTGTCACATTGCATACAGTGCTTTTCCTGCAAGTCTCAAAGGTCAAAGAATAATAAAACGTTCAAGGTAATAATTATCTGAAGGTGTGGCAAATGTTGAATGATACCAAGATCAGTGTTGCATGAAAAGCTGCTAAAAATGTCTTCATGTCTTTCCAGCGGAGACCAGAGAAGAGAAAACATTTCGTAATTGGATGAACTCTCTGGGTGTTTCACCACATGTAAACCACCTTTATCGGTACGTCATCAATAGGATGTCTTTATCTTTATACTTGTCCTTATCAGAGAACATGCATTATTTGCATTCCTAAAGATAGCATAATGAATGTGCAGATTCTTGGGGAATGGGATGAAGAATCGCAAGCGTTTGTTTCCTGAGGTGCAGGTGGTCAAAGCAAGGCTCTTCAAGGGCATCAGTGACTAAAACAAGAGAAACATTGATCTGAAATACGTTCGTTTTGGGGAAATGTGGAAAGTGTATAAAAATATTTTTCTCTAAAGTAACAAAATCTAAATATTTCTGGACATTCTCTAGACAGGACTTTTTCTTAAAACTTGATCCTATGGGAGGCCAAGTATCTGAAGGTATCAAAATGCCAAAACATGTCACTTAAGATGAGCAACGTTGAGACATGAAACACCTTGTACGCTAAAAATTAGAACCTAAATGTCTGAATGTTTAATTGAATAAAATATAAATACATGTGAAATTAGTGGTGATTGTAGACTCTTTTTGGGGGTGCTCAACCACCCATAAATTTTAACTCAGCACCCCTTAAAAAAAACACATAATTAGGATTTTATAAGGAATCTCAGTCCTCACACCTTAGATTCACCAAGATATAGAATAAATATGGAATAAATGATGACACAAACGGACGGGTCAGTAAAATCTATGATGTTTTTGCATGAGTCAGATCCTCACTGCCACCTGTCAGTCAATCCAGTAGGCTCATCTGCAACTGACCAATCAGCGATCTCAATTTGTCCTGAAGTGAAACGCCCCTTACCTGCAGGAGCTGGAGGGGTGGGTGGGTGGGTGGGGGGTGTTAGCATGTGTGAGAGAAGCGGAGCGTGCTCTATTCACACAAGGAGAGCTGTTGGTCAGACGACTTCTTGTTATGTTTGTTAATTTGTCATATAGAGGTTAACACAAGGTCAACAATACAATGAAATGTTCAGGATGAGAAGAAACAAGTCGACTCACTAAAAAAACAACAAATCTAAAGCTTGCAATAAAAGTACTAAATAAAGTACCAAAAAGTGAAAAAGAAATATAATATTTATTAGGTCCAAAAGAAATATAGTAAACAATAAGGGTGCAGATAGGATGAAGTACCTAGTATAAATACCAGTAAATACTTTGCAGGTAGTAATATTAGCTTAATATTAGATTCTTGTTGTGCCATGCTCTCTAAAATAGTTGTTGAATCAAGTATTTACTTAGGTAAACATGGATGTTTAAAAGCCCGTTAAAATACACCAGAATGCAGGAAATAGCATCTACTTAATTGAAAATGTTCTGGGGGAGAACCCCCAGACCCCCCACCAGTGTGTACCCCCACATTACAAATGCTTCTGATGCCAATGGACACTGTACTGTTGAAGCCCAGCATCACTGTCAACACGGGCTGAGCGCACGGCGGGGTGCGCCTCTTTGTTCATGCAGCCTTTGTTTCATACACATTAGTCTCACTGGGTCACGAGAACTCATTTTCAAGAGACCTGCTTTAAACAAAAAACACAGATGAGGTACACACAACAATAATATTGTATAAAATAATAACACAAGAATAATTCTAGAATTGTTTGTGTGAAATAGTCACCAAAAACAACAAACGTGTAATAACTTGTTAAAAGAAATTAAACTTTTCAACATTTTTCAGTCAGGTCATCTGTACAGTTTCTTTGTTTTTTTTGTGCTGAAACGTTTCACCTTCCATCCAGAAGGCTTCATCAGTCAAGGAAACACACAACAAAACTGATTCTTCCTCCAACAGCTTACTCCAAAGTGAAACAAACCAGTTATGTTGGTGCTAAGATGGTCTGTTTGGCACGCCCCCTCCTCCGGTGCCAGCCCTCTCCCTCGTCGACAGTCATGTCAAACTGGTTCAAAACCAACAAAGTCCATGCTCAATAATCCAGGTATACAATCCAACAATTTTCAGTCAGGACATCTGGACAGTTTCTTTTTTTTGTGTGTGTGCTGAAACGTTTCACCAATTGATCGTACACCTGGAGGGACTTGTCTGACTGCGAGGAAACCCCGGGGAAGATCCAGGACATGCTGGAGAGACTGTCTCTCCAGCATGTCCTGGGAACGCCTTGAGATCTTCCCAGAAGAGCTGGAAGAGGTGGCTGTGGAAAGAGATGTCTGGGACTCCCTGCTCAAGCTGCTGCCCCTGCGACCCAAATTTGGAACAATAAAAAGATGATGGATGTATGTATGTTTGTATGTATATATATATAGTGGAGGGTGGTAGTTGGGTAGGGGGTGGTGAATAGGTGAATATAAGAGCTAATATAAAAAGTGCCCTCAACAGCAGCCGTAGCTCGGTGGTTGGTGCAGTAGTCTTGTGGTCCTGAGTCTGCAGGTTCACGTCCAGGAAGGGCATCCGGTGCAAAACATTTGCAAAATATTTCATGCTGTGCAAATCTTTGCTCACTGTAGTAATCCTTTCCAAAGGCAGCACCCGAAATAAAAACATGAAACGTGTCCTCATTTGGCTAGCGCTCAGGAACATATCTGCTCTTTTCTCCATATATGATGTCACGCCTGATAAAAGTCCAAAATAACTTGATAAAACAAAAATACCCAGACTAACACTTTATGTTCATGTAAGAGATCTTTCAAACTTAATGTCAAGGATTTTCCTGTTGGCTGTACATCTTCTGTATCCTTGTGTTTTGCAGCGACTTGTGTGATGGCATGGTGATTCTGCAGCTTTTAGAAAAAGTCAAAGTACCTGTAAACTGGAAGAAAGTCAACAATCCACCTTATTCTTTTCTAGGAGGAAACATGAAGAAGGTGTGACCTCACAATAGAAAAGTATTGTGCACAAAAACAATCCAAAGGTTCTTACATTGTTTTATTTTCAGCTGGAGAACTGTAACTATGCTGTGAAGCTGAGCAGAGATGTTGCTAACTTCTCTCTGGTTGGAGTTGGAGGAGAAAACCTGAATGAAGGGAGTCGTACACACACCCTGGCTCTGGTCTGGCAGCTGATGAGAAGGTACAAAATCCAACCAGAACTCTTAAACTTCATGCACTGTAGACTGATTGATATATTTATTAGTTGTCGCTCGTTGCGTAAAGGCAAAAGTGGAAGATAATCAGAATAAACTTTATTGTCATTGCACCGAGACACAATGAGAACATGTACGTACAGTCGTCCAAAAGATGGATGGAGTGCACGAAGCTGCTGCTAATTAGCGCGGCCCTCTTATTCTTCTTCAGAGTAATATTTTACTTAGATGAGAAAAGGGAAGAAGACATGAGGAGAGACGGTATAAAAAAGATCTCTCAGACCATGTTCTAGACAGGGCACGATTTGAGGCCCGTGCGTGTGTTGTTTCTGTCTTTTAGCAAAATATCTCATGAACCACAGAGCAATTGTTTTAATGAAACTAAGAAAATAATAATTGGCTGTATATCTACAACTGACAGTTTTTATAGTCAACAGTCAACTCAATTAAAGATGGCTACCACCACCAGATAACATTTACCAACACACACATAAAAAACTTCCCTCAGTTGATTCTACATTGAGCTAAAACTTGGTGTGGTAGTAGGTGTGAACAAGCCTCAACATAACATTTCCAAACTTTGACAAAAATGTCTCTAACTTCATTTCTCACCAGAACATGATACAACTCTGGCAGGTGTAGGAATGAAACACCTTTAACTTTTTGTCCCCCATCGTGGAGCAACAAGAGGGAATAGGAAATGCCCTCCATCCATGTATCCGTGCATGTTGTGAGCAGGATAACTTGGAAACATTAGTGAAGTACCGACTTCCAATTTGGTTTGTGACTACATCTTGGTGTAAGAAAGGTCACTGTCAAAAATTGTATGGCCCCATCAAAATACAAGACGGCTGCCTTCATAAATGTATATATATATATATATATATATATATATATATATATATATATAAACTTTCTAACGTGAAAAATAAACAATGTGGTGACATCTATTTTGATTTATGTCTACATCTAAATGTAAAAGATTGCTTTCAAAAATTGGGTTGCCAGGTCAAGGTCCAAGATGGCTGCTTTCATGAATGTTCATCTGTCTTGTGAGCATATCTTGAAAAATAAATGAGGTACTACCTTCGATTTTTGTGTGGCTACATCCATCCATCCATCCATCCATCCATTATCTTTACCTGCTTCTTCCTTTTCGGGTCACAGGGATCAGTGGTGTCCATGTCCAGCTGTCACTGTGCGAGAGGCGCAGGACACCCTGGACAGGTGTCCAGTCCATCACAGGGCTGGCTACATGTAGGCATACCAAATGTTCCTTTCACAACTTGTGTTGCTCCATCAATATCCAGTCCAGAAAAACACTAATCTCAAAAATACAAATGTTCACCGTTCAAATCCCTCAGCGACGGGGAACATTAGCACACCACTTGCCTTTTTACATTTTTTGTTGCTTTTTGTTTTGAGTCAGACCGTATCATCTTTGTTTATTTTTGTTGTTGTTGTTGCAATCTCAGTTATCTGTCCCTTTTTTTTCTTTTTCTTTTCAGATACTCGGTTCTGGTTTTGTCAGATCTGGGTGATGGGGAGAAGGTTGGAGATCAGATCATCCTGAACTGGGTCAACTCCACTCTGAAGCAGAAACGAAAGGACACGCAGATCAGCAGCTTCAAGGTGTGTGTGTGTACAGCTGTGTAAAATTTAAAGGTGCTTCTTAGTTTGAAACTATGCGTTGTTGTGCCCAGGACAAGCTGATCAGCACCAGTTTACCGGTGATTGACCTCATCGACGCCATCGCTCCTGGCACCGTGAAGTGGGACATGGTGAGGAGAGGGGAACGAGGAGTGCTGGGGAATGATGAAAAACTCAACAACGCCAAGTAAAGACCTGTTTCTATCTCTTTACTCCTTCTTTTTCCAATTACTGCCTGACTGTTGTCATCCCGTTTCCCTCTCAGGTACGTCATCTCATTGGCCCGTAAGATTGGAGCCCGTGTCTACGCTCTACCTGATGATTTAGTGGAAGTTAATCCTAAAATGGTGCTGACAGTGTTTGCCTGCCTCATGGGACATGACTTAAGAAAGGGCAAACACTAAAACTCACACTTGGGTGGTGCGTGTGAGTGGGTGTGTATTTTTTTTTACTATTTTTCCCGGTTGTAATTATTTTTCTTTGGCATGCAGCTTTGATACATTCAGCAGACATAATAAAATAATTGACTGAATTGGTTTTATTAATGGCTTTTTAAAATTAATTCTTATTTTTTATGGTTATAAGAAAAACTGTTGGCATTACCCAAATCCTTTCTTGTGTGTAAAACTATTGCATTTGTTTCTATGATTTTTTTACATTTTAAAGTTTTATTGGCTTTATACCTGATAGGTTGTCAAGAGTTCTACAATATTCACTTCCTCTGCAAAATCATACACCGTCTGTGACTGTTGAGCTTTGAATGTTATTTAATTGCTGGAAAGATAAATTAATAAACATAAAAAACAAACATGCATGTGTGTTATTTCAAGATTTTTTTTAAATGCTTTAAAAAGCATTGCATGGAGAGAAGTAATTCATGTAACCTAAAAAAATAAATGTATGACTACAGTATCTCAATATATCGTTTTAATTTTTTAGAAGAAAAGAAAGGAAAAACATCCAATACAGTTATCAGTGTCAGGTAGATTGCCGTCTTAAATATTTCATTTTCATTTCATTCAATTATGTTTTTTCTTTAGAAAAATGTACCTATTTAATTTAAAATTCACCCCTACATCACAATACCACTGCTCATGATGCCACCACCACTCTGTTTCACAGATGGGATCAATTTCTTCCAAAACACAGTCTGAATATTGAAATCAAAAAGCTATTAAAAATAAACATCTAACCCAGGTTCATCCATATCCTGGTCCTCAAGGGCCACTATCCTGCATGTTTTAGTCAAGTCATCTTTATTTATGGAGCACATTTAAAACAGGAGCTGTTACCAAAGTGCTTAACAATAACATCAATAAGAGTAAAATTAATTGAAAAAATAACACACTAAAAATGTGTGTTTTAGAGTTTATTTGCTCCAGCACATCTGAATCCTCCTACTTCCTGAGGCAGCTGAGACGAGCTGGTCTGGAAGCTCAGTCCTCACCTCCTTCTACAGGTGTGCAGTGGAGAGCATCCTGTGCTCCAGCATCAACGTGTGGCATGGAGGCTGCACAGCTGCAGAAAGAAAAGCTTTGCAGAGAGTGGTGAAGGCTGCACAGAAGATGTTGGAGTCAGCCTCCCCACCATCACAGACATCTACACCTCCAGATGCAGGAAGAGGGCCACCTGCATCATGAAGGACCTCACTCACCCAGCACACACTTTTTTTGCCCCGCTCCCCTCAGGAAGGAGGTTGAGGAGCATTAAGTGTAGAACCACTAGACTGATGAAGACTCATGAATCTCTAACCAGAATAATCACTGTGAAAAATCACATCAGGCTGCTGATCAGTTTCATGTTGCTGCTGATCTGTTTCATGCTTCTGTATTCATTCATACTCATCTGCTCACACACTCATGTTCGTGCTGCTGTTCAGCGTATTGTTTTTGTACTATTAGTGCTTAGCATATTTTTAGTTGATGTTTTTCTTAGTTCATATCTTAGATCTTATTACTGTTTTTTTTTTTACATTTTATACTTTGGTTGGATGTAACTGGGACCCTATGTACACAATTTTGTACACATGTGGTGTGTATGACGAATAAAGAAACTCTGACTCTGACTATAAATCAATGGGTGATTAATGGACTTCTGCAGAACATAAAGAGGTAATTTAACCATTGATTCAAGAGTGATGGAGCAGGAAAACAAATACAACCTGCAGGACAGTGGCCCTGAGGACTAGGCTTGGACACCCCTGCTCTAACCCTATACCTCAACCATAATATGAAGACCAGGGCACACCCTAGAGCGAGGTCTGGAGGGGGAAGTTTGGCAGTGAGCGCTTGGCGGATGAACTGTGACTCCTAATGTGCCATGCTAAGCCTGAAAAAGTGACAGAAGGTCATGTGAGCCCACCATTTGCAAGTAGGATCATCAAGATCACATGAGGAGTAAGCCGGGCGACAGGGGGGAGAGGGTCTCTTGTCATAATGACTTGTGGCAGCATAGAGGAGTTCTAGGGACATGGAATGTCACCTCCATGACAGATCAGGAGTAGGAGCTTGTATGTGGGATAAGTGATATCAACTATATAGTTGTACTCACCTCTACATTACACCTTATCCATTATTGTTTTTGTTGGTTTCTACTTTTTGGTGTCCTGTTATGTAATCTGTTGCTGTGTGCTTGTTCTGTTTGTCCCTGTACAGCACTTTGGTGTGCTTTATCACTGTTTAAAGTGTTATATAAATAAATTGGTATGGTATGGTACATGCCTCCTTAGATAGAGAACTTTACTAATTGGCTTTTATGTGAATGTTTCTGTAAAGTGCCCTGAGACAACTTTGTTGTGATTTGACGCTATATAAATAAACTGAATTGAATTGAATTACATGCAACATGGACTCTGGAGAGAGGATGGACTCTTTTCTACTCTGGAGCTGTCCATAAGTAACACCATTGGAGTCAATAAGTGTACAGTAGTGGTACCAGGCTATCTTTGGCAGAAGTATAATCAGTCTTGTAATCATATCCTCAGACTTGTGGCCTTATTCCATGAACACAGATGGGTTCGCAAAAAACAATGACATATCAGGTACTTTATCTTTACTCTCACTGTAGGCTGTCCAATATAGTTCTTTTGGAGCAATCCTGTTGCAGCATAAACATAAACTATCGGTAATAATAAATATTAGAAAAATAACTATATGAGTCAGTAGCACACACATATTTCAATTCAATTCAGTTTATTTATATAGTGCCATATCACAACAAAGTTGTCTCAGGGCACTTTACAGGAACATTCACATACTTATCCAATAATTCTCAGTCAGGTCATATGGACAGTTTCTTTTTTATAGATACATTTCACCCTCTATCCAGAGGGCTTCATCAGTCAGAGGATTTCCAGTAAACTGTTTCCCCACCAAGCAGTAAACTCCTTAAGTGGACCAACCAATTTGCTAGAGCTAAGATGGTTTCTGGGGGCCATCCTGTCCCCCGTCCCAGGCAAGCAGCCACAGCCAAAGTGGTTCAAGGCAACAAAGTTAATGCTTAATCATCCAGGTATCAAATCCAATAATTCGCAGTCAGGTCATCTGGACAGTTTCTTTTTTATAGAGGTGTTTCACCCTCTATTGTTCCACTCTGGAGTTGCCCATGGTGAGAGGCGTCGAGCTGGTGTGGGTCTACTTGTAACCCCCCGACTTGGTGCCTGTGTGTTGGAGTTTTCCTCGGTAGATAAGAGGGTGGCTTCCCTTCGCCTTAGGGTGGGGGGACAGGCTCCGACTGTTGTTTGTGCCTATGCACTGAACTGCAGTTCAGAGTATCCGGCCTTCTTGGAGTCCTTGGCAGGGGTACTGGAAGCTGCACCAGCTGGGGACTCCTTTATTCTGCTGGGGGACTTCAATGCCCATGTGGGTAATGACAGTGTGAACTGGAGGGGCGTGATTGGGAGGAACGGCCTCTCTGATCTGAACCCGAGCTGTGTTCTGTTGTTGGACTTCTGTGTTAGTCATAGTTCGTCCATCACGAACACCATGTTCGAACATAAGGGTGTCCATAAGTGCACTTGGCACCAGGATGCCCAAGGTCGTAGATCAATGATTGACCTCATCGTTGTGTCATCTGATTTGTGGCCATTTGTTTTGGACATTCGGGTGAAGAGAGAATCTGAGCTGTCAACTGATCACCACCTGGTAGTGAGTTTGATAAGATGACGGGGAAAGATGCCTGACAGACCCGGTAGACCCAAACGTGTAGTGAGGGTTTGCTGGGAATGCCTTGCAGAATAACCCTCCGAGAGAGATCTTCAACTCACCTCCGGGAGAGCTTTAACCGCATTCCAGCTGAGGTGGGATTGAGTCCCAGTGGGCCATGTTCCGTGCCTCGCTTGTTGAGGTAGCTGCCTTGAGCTGTGGCCGCAAGGTTATCGGTGCTTCTCGCGGTGACCATCCACGAACTCGGTGGTGGACACCCCGGGTTAGGGAGGCTATCAAGCTGAAGAAGGAGTCCTATCAGGCCTTGTTGGCCAGTGGGACTCTGGAGGCAGCTGAGGAGTACCAGAGGGCCAAGCAGTGTGCAGCCTTGGCTGTTGCTGAGGAAAAAGCTCGGATGTGGGACGAGTTCAATGAGACCTTGGATAGAGACTCTCGGTTGGCTCCGAGGAGATTCTGGCAAACCATCAGGTGGCTGAGGAGGGGAAAGCAGTACTTCACTAACACTGTGTTCAGTGAAGGTGGGGTGCTGTTGACCTCAACCAGTGATGTCGTTGGGTGGTAGAAGGAATACTTCTCGGACCTTCTCAATTCTACTAGCACGTCTTCCATGGAAGAAGCTGAATCGGGGGACTTTGGGGTTGATCCATCCTTAACCGTGGCTGAGGTCACCAAGGTAGTTAAAAAGCTCTGAGGTGGCAGGGCTCCGGGAGTGGATGAGATTCACCCTGATTTCCTTAAGGCTCTGGATGTTGTGGGGCTGTCTTGGCTGACTTTGATAACAGGTTCTGTTTTAAATGTGCTCTATAAATAAAGTTGACTTGTCTTGACTTGACATTCCTTTGCAAAGTTGCATGGACATCGGGGGCAGTGCCACTGGATTGGCAGACTGGGGTGGTGGTTCCCCTCTTCAAAAAGGGGGACCGGAGGGTGTGCTTCAATTATACAATACAATACAATACAACTTTATTTATAGAGCACTTTAAAACAACACTGTTGGTCAAAGTGCTGTACACTAGGACATACAAAAACATAAAAACCCCACACGTTAAAAATGTGAAATAAAATAAAGATAACAAATAAAATAAAACAAATAACTTAGAGTCATTAAAACCAACATTTCAAACTGAAGTAAAAGCCAAAGAGAAAAGATGTGTCTTCAGAGAAGACTTAAAAACAGGAAGTGAGCCAGCTTGTCTGACATGCAGAGGCAGCTCGTTCCACAGTTTAGGGGCAGCGACTGAGAACGCTCGGTCACCTCTCAGTCTCCTGTTGGACCTTGGGACGACCAGCAGCAGCTGATCTGCTGACCTGAGAGAGCGAGAA